AAAGAATGACATACTCTTGCAGGAAACTAGATGACAACTATGTTATAACAAGATTTGTCCATGACATATTCTCTTTTAGACAAAAGTATTGAAAGAACAATGGTTTATTTGATGTGTGTTTTATTTATGCAGGTTCTTGTTCTTGCACATAAATAATTAGAATTTGTTTTACTTAGACACACTTGGGAGTTGCTTCATTGCTAGCTTATGGTGGTAGAGTCTGAAGAATAATTGTTAGTTTGGCTTGGCGCAGACTCTAAGTTGAAGGTCTCAGCATTCAGACGAGTTACTACACTTGGTAATTGTATATCAGCATCTGGTATCATTCAGAGTTGGTGATAAAGTTGTGGTTGTCCATACTGCATAAAGCAATTTGTATTGTCTTATCAACTTGTCAGCTAGAGTCTATAATATTGTAAGGCTCAAGAAAGGTTGGCATGCTTTACGGATATTTTCTCCCAACGGCTCTATCAGTACAAAACCTCTTGAAGAATCAAAGGTTAAACATGTTACACACTAGATTCAGAATTTGTTGCGTATCTATCGTCAACGGCTCTTGTACTATGGAGTAAAGGCAAAGATACTTAATCAAATTACCTTTTCAATGGCTAGTTTCTGCAAAGGCTATAAATATGGATGAAGATTCAAGTTTGAATCTTAACAAGGATTCTCCAGACGAATGAGTAGCAAGATCAAGCAATTATCAACTTTAATGTAATATGCAAATTTTCTATTATAGGTTGTAATTGTAAAAACCTTAACATTTCTTACTATTGAATATATTAGAAATCTTAAGAGATTTAGGTCTTTGTTATGGTGACTTCCCGTACCTCTGATGCTTATATCATGTACACCTTGTTCTCTATTCTGCTGAGCCTTCAGTAGTTTAGATCAAGTCTCTTGTTATGTGCTTAAGAAAAAGTCTTGTCTCATTATGATTCAAGCAACAAGTCTTGAGCCAAGATGCTTGAGCCACGTAAGTCTCATTGCTTAAGTGCTTGAGTTGTGAAATTTTTATTCAGCTAGTCTGATTGAGCAAGGAAAAGTATCCGTCTGAGGGGCGTGATCAGGAAGTCTCAAGTGTTGCTTAAGTAAGGAAGTCTCAGTCTGGATGACCAGAAGAGCAGGTGGCTCGGTCAGATGATGTGATCGGGAGTCTTGGACATGTGCTCTAAGTAAGGATAAGTCTCAACCAGAGGACCTTTGGAGCAGTTGACTCGGTCAGAGGGTGTGAGCAAGGAAAGTCTTAGATATGTGCTCTAAGCAAGAAAATCTCAGACAGTTGGTTTGAGAAAAGACTTATGCAAAAGCATAAGTGATTGTAAACATGAAGTGGTTATAATGAAAATCTCTTGTGAGGCAATGGGACTGAAGTACTCTCAGTTATGGGAGGAACCAGGATAAATCTTTTGTGTCTTCTGTTGTTATTTGTTTACTTCTGTTATATCTGTTGCCAATGAATTAAAATAGAATTTGAACACTAGTTTTGATTCTAAAAATATGATTAGAAGTTAAATTAAAGAAAATACGAAACACAATTCACCCCCGTCCCCTCTTTCTTGTGTACTTTTCACACGTTCAAACTAAACTAAAATTTTCAAGAATTGACAATGGCCTAGAGTTTGTTTTAGAGCACTTTAATAAGTTGTGTAGAAAACAAAATATTAAGAGGCATATAATTATAGTGGAACACCACAACAAAATAAATTAGATGAATTCATGGATAAGACCATTTTAGACTAGGTAAGATGTATGTCATTGGGAGTGAAGTTACCTAGGTGTTTTGGGGGTGAATTGATTATTATGTAGCTTATTTGATCCAAAGATGTTCATCCATGAGAATAGACTCCAAAACACCTATTGAATTTTTTAGTGGAAAACATGTAGAATGCTCTTATACAATTAGTTTAAGAGCTTTGAAGTTTGCACGTATCAAGTAATATAAAATTGATGTTAGATATACAAAATGTGTCCTCATTAGTTATCTTGAAAGAGAATGGATACAAGTTCTGAAAGATTGAAGTTGGAGGATCAAAATTCATTATAAGTAATGAAATTACTTTTGATGAGATTAGTATGGAGATGAAGTGTAATGACATAGAAGTTAAGTACTAAATAATAAGGTGGATAAAACTTTGTTTGAGGTGGAGGTCTCTGTTAATGAGTGAGACGAGAAGTGAGAAGGACGTTGAGGCTTCCATATCTAGGTTTGAGAAATGAAATCTATAATAGATCTAAAATATTAGTTGGTTCTTAATATGGTAATGAGAAAGATTGTACCACCTCAAAATTATAGTTTTATTAATTTTACTTGTATGTTTTAATTGTTGTTGGAGAGTTACAAGACTCAAAATGAAAGCCCTTCAAGTAGGAATTTGAAAGAAAAAAATTAGATTCATAAATGGTTGAAGGTGGTGAGCGAGGAAATGTATTAAATGGAGAAATCATTATTTGGAAATTCTGAAATTAATGAGAAACAAAGGTGATTTGTTGCATGTGATTCTACAAGAAAAAGAAAGGAAACTGTATAAAAGACATGTGGAAAAGAATTTTACTCATGTGGAAGGAATTAATTACAAGAAAAATACTTTCCCTTATGGTAAAGCATTATTCCATAAGATTGCTTATGGATATTATTAATAAATGTAATTTTTATTTGGAACAAATGAATGTCAAAACAATATTCTTACATGGAGATCTTGAAGAGACAGTTTACATGAAACAATGTGAACATTTTATAGAGGACAAATATAAGGTGTTTCTTTTGAAGAAATATTTATATGAGTTGAAACAAAATTATAGGAAGTTGAATGTTCGGTTTTATAAATTTATTCTAAATTATTTTGTTTGTAATAAGCAAGAATGAGTTGTGAATACATATTAAGAAGGAATGAGGAAGTCATTCTCTAGTAACTTCAGTATGTTGATTATCCCTTGATGGCAAGCTCGGACAAAGAATAGATTGATAAGTTCAAAAAAATATTGAATGAGGAATTTGAGATGAAAGATCTAGGTGAGACTAATAAAATTTTAGGGATCGATATCATGAAGAAATTAAAAAATGGTGAATTATTTTTATCCCAATCTAATTACTTAAAGAAAGTGGTGAAACGGTTTAGAAGGTTTGATGTTAAAAGCGTTTACGCTTCTTTAAGTTATCACACAAAGTTTTAAATCATGAATATCTTCAAATAGGAGATTAGATAATGAGATTGAGAGTACTCCTCAATTGTCAGTTGGATGCATCACATATGTTAAGGTTTGTTGTAGGCCAAACTTAACCTATGCCCTTAGCATAGTAAATTGGTTTACGGAAAAATCAAGGTTGAGTGCAATAGGAAGATTTGAAGTAGACATTGAAATGTTTGAACAAATATTTAAAGGGTGGTTTGAAGTACACAATAACGGCTCAAGAAATAGAAACTTTGGAGAAATTTGTTGATGCAAACTAAGCGAGAAATGTAGACATTATATTTATAACTCAAGTGAAGTATATTATCCTAGTTGAAGAGGTTAGAGAAGCTATTTAGTTAAGAGTATGACGGAAGAGTTTGATATCGCTCAAGAATTTGTAAAGATATATTGTCATAATCAAAATGCAATCTATTTGTTTAATCATGAATCGTAAGAGGACAAATTACATTGACATTTGTTTTTACTTTGTGGCTCTAAGAAGGTTGTTTTTAGAAGAGAATACAACAAATATGTTTGACAAATTATTACATGGGTCAAGATTCTAGCACTATTTGAATTTGGTCAATTTTGTTGAAGAGTGGTTCAAACAAGGAAATATGAGCACGGTAGTTATGAGTAATTTGACATTATCATCGATTTGAAGGGAAGGTAGAGAATTATGGGAAGTGCTTTGAAATTTTAGAAAAACGTTTAACAAAGGCCACAAGACATGTGGATAATTGTAATTCACGCATATCAATTTTGCCACAGAATCCGTCATTTTATTATAATTTATATCATTTTTATTATAATTTATTTGTAATTTCTTCTTGAAACGTAGATCAAAGAGTTGAATCAAATTAGATCAATAATTTATATCTGTTGATTCTCTACTTCTTTTGTTCTTGTTAACTTGTGCATGCATCTTTTGTTCTTGTTAACTTGTGATTTGCATGCACTAGCTTGTGGATTTGTGTTCTCGTTAACTATGCACTAGCTTGTGGATTTGTTATTGCTTGGTACTGTTTAATTAGTTTGTTATCGTTCTTTTGTCACTGTCTATTTATTTTTTATTTGAATCTGAGTTTGGGGTGTACTATAATATTTTGTAGATCTCTTTGATCTAGTAGTTGAAAAATATTGTGCACCATACATTACTAATCTCAGTTATGGATGTTAGAAAAGAAAACCCACATTTACATTGGTAGATTCTTTGGATATCGAAATACTAATATTGCATGTGAAATTATGTGTTCATTATGTGTTTATCTTTATCTCTTTCATACTTTATATTTTATACACATTTTAAAAATATAATTGACTTGAATACACTTAGTCGATGCCAAAAACACTTCTACAGTGATTTTTTGAATAACCCAAAGAACGAATTTTTAGGCATATAAGCTTTTTTACTTAGATGAGGTTTTCTCTTAAATACTGAAAACCATATGTTCACTTGAGTTCCAACTTATTAATAAAAGAATGCAAATATGTAAGAATTTTTAATTTTCATTAGGGATCAAATAATGACAAATTACATCATAAAATGGTTTCAGTTCCTTAAACCATTATCGCCCTCCCCCTCTAAACTTAAATCCACACCAGTGTGGAAACTAACAATAAATTAAGGAATAAGAAATTTTACAATTCCAAAAAGAACTTGAGAAGAATAAATGGGGGACATTAACTCAAACGAAATCACCTTCCAAAACAATATTTTACAATGAAGGTTAACTTTCCAACCTTATGTCAAATGTACAAAAGAAAATACCAAATCTCATCCTCCTTGCTTGGCTTTGGCGAGGAGGATGCTAACTGATATTTATTCAATCCATGAAACCTCTTCTCATGTCTTGCCTTCGGCCATCTCCAAAAACCTCTTCTATCATGCTACATGTTGGTAAAAAGTCCATCTTGTTTTTAGAGCAAGATACAAAGCCAGAATCCCATGCGGGTGCATCACAGGGCTCCAACACATACCCTTGGCTATAACCATTGCTTATTCCATTGTAGTTACTGGACCAATGATCTCCATTTCCACTCTTCACTCTGGTCTCCCTTGAAGCAACTCCCCCCATGTCATGTGATGTGTATGGTTCATGCTTAACTTTTTCACCACATGAATCCTGCCAAACTGATCGATCCTGATGCTGATTCAGATGAGGGGAAGCATTGGGGCGTTGCATCTCAACGGGATCAATGTTTCTCTTTGTAGGATCTCCAAATCCGTTAACAGCACAAGTTTCATCTTCAGGAAACTCATCCTCATATTCCTCCAAATGATTATCATTGCAGTTATTGATACAAGTATCATCTTGACAAACAGGATCATCCGCAACAGAATCCTCATCATCATGATCATCATTACCTTGCCACTCATCGTTATCGCTATCAGCACTTAATAGGTGATTCCTGTTCTGCTCTGCCCGCTTACGAAGCATGAAGACATTAAAGTAGTAACTCACTATCTCCTTTTTGCTTCTTGAGGGGAAAACAATGGAAAGATAATTCCAGAAATTCTTGTTGGATGATGCTGGATTATTGAAGACAACCTTGTGAAATAGATGTTCATCCTCTGTAGTCCATCTATCAGCCACTTGTTCTCCCATGCCAGGAAACCCCAATTCAATGAATTTCTCAATCCCAAAGGTTTTAAATAGTTTCTTTCTTTCTTCCATTATATGTTGTCTTACACATCTTATAGACCCACTGTCTTCGCAGCTGCAATCAGTTCTTCCCTTTCCAGCTTCATCATCAATGGAAGATAACTCCATCTGAGGCATAGAAATTATACAGGTCCCCATCATTCTTTTTTCAGCTTCCCCGTCATGAACAGTGATGTTTGAATCTGAGACAGCATTAGCGGCATTAGGTACCCATGGGGGAACATCAGCTTGATGATTAGCTCCAATTGAAACAGGCTTGCGAGGAGATTGCTCAAGGAGTAAGGAGTAAAGGTCCTCATAGCGAGTAAATGTCCTTATGGGTCGTTCTGGACTGAAATATATTGGCCTTTCTGGACTGAAATACTCAGGAAAAAGAGGGAGATGTATAGGTTGTTCTGATCGGTGATATTCTTCGGATACGCCATTGGTGGCCCAAGAAGAAGCAGGAACACCTATCACAGGAAAGCTTGTTTCAGATTCCCCAGCCCCACTAGGCAGTACATCACAAGTTTCACCAGCAAGCTTGTCTTTACAATCGTTACTACCTTTTGCATATCCTTCCTCTATGAATTAAAATGTAGACAAACTTAATATAAGTACAATTTATCACAAACTTCAAACTCCTTGAAATGTACATTTTTAGGTTGATTTTCAAATTACACAAGATTAATAAATAAACTCCCACCTGAAGTTTTAGGCAAATGGGTGTAGCAATCATCATCAGGAAAAACAGATTCTGATAAAGGTACAAGATCACTGGGGCTTGCATGTTTAGGGTGTTTGAAAGACACCTCAAGCATCTCCTCAGCATCAAAAGGACGTTTCTGCACCATGGTTGCCTGCAAAATAGAATTCATCAAAGTATAAGACAACAAGCTTGCACCACAAGATAATAAGCAACAAAGTAGTTATTTAGAAATCATGCATAAAAACAACCAATAAGGTAGTTCAACAGTCAAAAAACATCCTCAAAATATGTTATCAAAAGACAGACAACTAGAAACATTACATATAGCATGTGAGGACACACAAAGTTTTTGCTATAAATAGAGTACACTGTAATAAAATCCCCAAAAGTGAGTATTGATAATCGTGTTCTTACTTCCGAATAAAAGAATAACTTAAATTAAAGAACACTGTAACTCTGACATTTATAAATCATTAATATCATCATCAAAAAAGAGGTGGGCCAACTCAGTGAGGCACAAATAAGGACAATTCTGTAACTTCACATTAATTACCCAGGAAGCATCACATTATTAACCACACAACAAAGAAACGTGCCACATCACTGCCAAAACTTTAAATAGAAAGAATAATAATAAAAATAAAAATAATGTAAAAAAATAATTTAGCTTCACCAAAAAAACAATAAAAAATTAATCTTTTAATAATACCTTAAATCGGTCTCTGTCAAATTAATGGCAAATTGCTGAATTAGGAAGTAACAAAACCGGAGAATCCTAATTACTCAAAGAAATTGAACTTTCCCCAAATAAATTCAATAAAACAAGAAAACCCCCAAATTCAAGAAACCCTAACCCTAATTTTTTAAATCGAACGATTACGAACAAACGAAGCCTAACTGACGAAGAATTACAACGATTCGCACAAAAGATATAACAACCCCCAGAGAAATTTCCAAACGACGTAACCAAAATCAAACCCGTTGAATTAACCCTAAATCGGAAACAACAAAACGATTCAAACAAAACCAAAATCAAAATCAAACGAAGAAAAACTCAATCGCGTTATCCCAGATCAATATAAGAAAAATAGATCGAGGAGATTCGCGACGGAAACCCTAAAAACCGACACCGTGAATGAACAACGACGAAATTAGGATCGATCGAAAGATAAAATCACGATCTAATAGAAGGTTGAAACGATCGGAGAGAAGGAGAAGAAATTGAAGGTGAAATCGAGGGGAAAAGAAAGGGGATCGAGATCCGAAAACGCGGCGCAAGAAAAACTAGGGTTTGTTGTATTTTTATTTTTTTTAGGGTTGGTGAGAGAAAGAAATAAAAGAAACGACACCGTATTGACGAAAATTAAACTCGTGTTGTTTTGCGTTGTGGGGTGATAGAGAGAGAAATAAAAGAGATATATGAAGGAAAAGAATGGGATGTGAGTGCGGTATATATGGGACAGTGTGGGAACGAGGTTGTGGGTAGATTCTAAATCATGATTTTTTTATAACAGGGTTATTCATACGTGGCTTTTTGTAAGTGGGTAATTTTTGTTATTTGTAATTTTTATTTTATTTTACTTTTTAATCTTTTATTTATGGGTTTGGGGAATTTGGGGACCATAATTTCGAGGATTTTTTTTAATTTGTTTTATTTTAACAAAACAACTAACTACAATATAAACTTATTTAATTATTTGTTAAATACAATATAAACCTATTGTTTCGTGTTATTTATTTATTTCTCTTTTATTTTTAGTTATGTTGATGGTTAAATTTTTTTAAAAATTTAAAAGAGGAACACAAAATTTAATAAGGAAGCAAATACTTATAATCTTGCTCAAACATACAAAGACATAAGAAAAAGAAGATCGAAAATTCTAAAAGAAAATAAGAAAGAAAGAAGAAATGGGAAAAAGGCGCCTCTAGGTTGTAATTGTGTCCACACAAAAATCTTACAATTCAAGTAGTATTATTTATCTTACAAAAAAATCTTACAATTCAAGTTGTAGAAGTCGTCAAACATTTATGGGATTTAAGAAAGGAATTCGGATTGATATAAAGGATAGGAGTGCGGAATTTTACTGGAACTAATTACAAGAGTTCATGGTGGAGAAAAACTGGCTTAATTCTTGCAAGTCTTTTTTTTTGGAGTTATGAGACGCCAATAATATATTGATGAAATTGGAGATTATAGATAGAAAATGTTGTTGCGTCTTGTGGGGTTCCAATGACTTCGAATTTGTATTTAACCCTACAGTCGGGAGATCTAGCAGAACTTTGATGATATGGGACAAAAAAGTCTGCATAATCCATAGAATAGATACATTAATTTATGCAATATGGGTGGAGGGAGAATGGGTAAAGATTAAAAAACACATAAACATAGTTAACGTTTAAGCACGATGTAATGGAAGAAGAAAATGTGAGTTGTGGGCTAGTTATCCATGAGAATCGACGAGAAAATAGAAAATGCATCTACTTATTAGGAGATTTTAATGTTATAAGATCTAAATATGAGAGAAGATGATCTTCTGATAACAATAGAATATATGAGATTGAAGCATTTGACAAATTCATATCACGATCAGATCTGATCGACTTGTCATTACGGGGAAGAAAATTCACTTGGTCTAGAATAGAGGATGGAACGATAGATGGGCCGGACAAATTTCTCATCATGAAAGAACGACTTAGATTATGGCCAACAAGTAAGCAATGGGGTTGGACAAAGATTTATTGGACCATTGTCACACTTTGCTTTATGAAAGTATTAAAAAAAGGGACCAAAACCATTTCATATGTGAAATTGTTGGAAGGGTTTAGAAGGCTACCGTGAACTTGTAAGAGAATACTGGAAAAACATAAAGGTCAATGAAAAGTTAAAAGATTAGCACAAGACGCATACACATAATATGGAAGGAGACATCAAAGAGACAAAGGAAGAACTCAATCATATTGAGATTAAAGAGGAATAAATTAATTTATCTGAAAAAGATATGAATAGAAAGAGAGAAACAATAACAAAGTTGTTTAAGTTGTCAAATCTCAATTGCAGCATTCAATAGCAAAGAGCAAGAAGTAAATGGTTGAAAGAAGGAGATCCAAACACTAATATTACTATGGGTGTATAAATAAGAAACATAAATAAAATGAAATCATATCACTGAAAGTGAATGCAAGAAACTGAAAGAGGAGGAGGAAGAGATAAAAAGAGAAATATATGATCACTTTTATAATCTTTTCACTAGCAAGAGGGAAAGGTCGTTACCAACCAATATCGAATTAAAAATATTGCAGGAAAAAGTGCGAGATGCGATGACTCTAGACGTTTTAGAAGAGGAAGTCTAAAAGGCGATATGAGAATGCGAATGTTTCAAAAGCCCGAGCCCAAATGGACTTAATTTTGAGTTTATGAAAGAGTTTTTGGACAAGCATCATATCTGATTTTATGAGGATTATGAAAGAATTACATTCAAACGACAGAGTTGTAAAAAGAGAAAATTGTTCATTTTTTGGTCTAATACCAAAGAAAAACAGTCTTATAGGGATATCAGACTACAGACCAATATTTGTGATAGGATGCAAATACAAAGTCATATCCAAGGTATTGGCAAATAGATTGAAAAAGGATATGGACACAATCATTTCAGAAAATCAATCACCTTTCATTTCTAGAAGAAAGTTTATGGACGCTATCTTGGTGGAAAATTAAATAATGGGATGAGGCTAGGAGAAAGAAGAAAGAAGTGATATTATTTAAAGTGGATTTTGAAAAGGCATTTTACTCAGTCGAATGGAATTTCATATTACTTGTGATGGGATGAAAGTGAGGAATTAAGTAGTTGTGTCGGTGAGTGTGGGGGCGAGGAATAAATATCTCGTCTATTTTTTTAGTGTGTTATTTTTGAAGGGATTTTGAATTACATTTTTCGGTGACTTGGTGTGACTACAACTATGTAGACCGATGGATGAATCATTTGAAACAATTTGAAGGTTTGTTGGCCAGAGGTAGAACATCATTTGCAAAGACAACAATAATATGGTTTTCTTGTATATGGGCCATTTGGAAGACTAAGAACTAAAAGATTTTCCAAAACGAAGAAGTCAATATCGAAAAAAATGGTGAAAGAGGCAAAAAAAATTATCTTGGAAATGGCATCGCATCAAGGCAAAATGAATTGAAGATAATGTTGCATAATATTTTTCTCACCTAAGGCTTGTTTAGGGTTCATGGACGAATGAATATATGGAAGATCATCTCTATTGACGATCATTTTATTTACATATTACTCTATCAGTATGTTGTTCGTGTTCGTAGTTAGAGGGACAAATTCTGATAACGAATGGATAGGTTACAGAGGGATACTGTTGCAGTTAGGCTGGTACTTGGGACATGTTTTTGATACATTTAGCACAATTGGGATGGATTTGGGGTCAACCTTAATCCAAATTATTAGTTGACAATATTCAAATGTGCGGTTACATGTAGTGGAGCTTCTTGGCAAACTGGTATACTGGAGCTCATTGAAAAGCTCATTAATCCTTAAGCATTTTGTTTTTATCATGACGTTTGGCGGTTGAAGCATAGACTATTTATATCAAGTTAGTAATTAGAGAAAATAGTAGTTCTTTTTCTGAATTTTCAATATGTGTGTTAGAACTCTCATTGTGTTTGTAACGGTAAATATTTTGGTATTGGATAAGCTCTAATGGAGCTTGCTTTTGTTTGCAGCTTGGTGGTGAACTAATGTACTTATAGTATTGTGATGCTTTATTTCTTATGCATTTTGCCTTATTAAAAAAAGATATAGTAACAAGTGCAATATCGGGGGCTCAAACTCCCATAATAAAACCAAAATTTTCTTTTGTAGTGATATTATATTTGATTTTTAGTCTCTATAAAATTTACTACTAAACACCCCAAATTATGTTTATTCTACTCACCACACTTCCACTTCACACTAGTTTTATTTTATTTTATTTTTTTTATTTTTTCATTACCCCAATTTCATTTTTCTATCAAATTACCATATTATTATCTTTTAAACCTTTTTCTCTTATTACTTCTCTTTCAATATTTAAAATTTAGATTTATTAAGTAACACTAGTTACTTTAATCAACTCATTTATATATTTTAAATA